CCTTCCCCCTCCTCCTGCCTTCCCGAGAGAGCACTCAGAAATTTTGAAAACAGGAATCTCAAGCAATAGGCCATTTGCATGATGGCRTAACTTTACTACAACTACCAGAAAGCCTTGCACATTTTCTTTGTTATTCAGATTTTTAATCCCCTTAGCGATTAGTAAAACAATTGGCACTAATTGCATTACAAAAGAAAGTGGGCAAAGCATTCTGGTAGTTGTWGTAAATGACGCCATAATGCAAATCGCCTATTATGGGAAAYATTAGGTTCAAATTTGGGTTACTAAGCTTCACAAGGTAAAGACCCTAGGTGTGGTCTACTGTGGTCAACATATACATGTTCTTGATTACACATGCAATTTAAGTACAACTATTAATATATACAATTAAAAAGTGTCCATTATCAAAGGAACCTGATCAGGGTTATCAACTTGTGTATATTCCTCTCGCATTGGATTATTGTCGGGATAAACATAAGGAGGTCTAACATCTGGAGGCTATAAAGATATATACGAAACAGAAATGAATGATTTTAGACTAGTTACACTCTGTAAGTACAGAAGTGTTATTGATGTAGGCAGACATTATTGAACATTACATGTAACACATTGGTATAATTGTAAGACAGTGGAAAATTGGAAAATGTATCCTGAGGAAGGCAACAAGTTTGGAATGTCCCTTCCATTTCCCCCCTTTCCTCATCCTCTAGAGCTGCTACATGGGCTAGAAAGTCCCAGGGGTGGTTAATTAATTTGTAAATACCACTTATAATCCTTCAAGAAATAAAATCATGCATGCTTACCTCTATTACTGGTAAATCTGCATTTTGATCTTGATCTGATTTCTTTTTCCTGTTAATTAAATTGAAATAAGAAACATCTCCTATTCATTCRTTCAATTTCATTCAACTACACACCAAAAAAGACCCACATGCTTACAAATGTCAAGTAAAATAAGTTTTAATAAGCAATTGCCCATGTACTCTTTTGATCTTGTACTTTCAAATGTTCAGTGCAAACCAAAAAAGATTCAATTAAATTATAACTAGCTAAAATTGTTCCTTACCTTAAATGTCTAGAGTACAACAAATAACCCAGTACCAATACCAACACAATTGCTCCAGCCACAGTAACAACTATGATGATAATGGTCTCCTTTTGAGACCCTTGGATCTTTGTCTCCATGGCAGCTAATAAATAGAAAGAAACAAGGTTCATTCTGACATGGAATTTTGAAAGAGAATATTCAGTTTGTTGGTGTGTTATAATATATCAGATTCCAAAAAAATGAAACAATGAAATTTGAGTCTGTTTAGTTATTGCTCTAATATTCATGAGTTGGATAAAATTACTTTTGATCAAGTTGATAAGAGTGAACGCACTTAATCCGTGCAACTGTACAAAATCTAAGTAGTACTAATTTGTACTAAAGTGGACCTGAAGCAAGACGTCATTGATGGCTTTATTTGCATCAATTCAATTAAATTTGCATACCAAATGCATGATTTACTAAATACAACTAAACAGCACTATTTAGTTTGTGATCACTCTGACTAGTATATTTTCAAATTTTTCATAACCCTAGTGATACTTAAAATAAAATTTAAAAAATGTATC